TGTGACAGGATACTCTCGGTGGTTGCGACTTCCCTCCGAGAGGTGGCGAAAAAACCAGCGGTGTCCGTGGCTGGATTTGAACACGGATCTTTTCGTTCATTTATTTACTGAGCAGCGCACATTTCTCCGCGCTACGCTCGCCACTGTGGTATCGTTTTTAAAAGTAATCTTTCGAATCTAAGAGTTTACTTAAAAAAGTTAAAAGTTTACTTAAGAAATTTCAAAGTAATTTGGGACACTTGAAGTAATTTTTAGATAGCCAAGCCTGCTGAAGCTCCCGCTAGGAAGCCGCGCGACATAGCACTTTCTCATAAGAAGAAAACCGCACACGGTATTATAAATTGTATCACGTACTTTTCACACAATTCTTAAAGGTTTCTTTGAAATTCTTAAAGTAAGTTTTAAGTTTATCTTAAGTAAAAGTTTAAAGTGTCCAAGTTTACTTTCCATATTCCTTATTTTTCTAAAGTAAAGTTTTAAGGTTTCCTGAGGTACATTTTCCCAAGGGTAAGCTTAAAGCTGATTCTACAATGGGCGCAAGACGCAAGCCACCACGCAAGAAATCGATCAATCACAGTCAAATATGAGAAGAACGATCGACTATCATTGACTGATATCTTGCGTTGCGGCTCAGCGTCTTGCGTTCGTTGTAGAATAAGATTTACGTCCTCGCGCGCAGCGCGGAGGAGAGAAACGATCGAAACCGGGGAGCTCGCTCCGGGCGAGTCGGCATCGCGCGGGGATTGAAAATTTCGTGCCGGCGCGACCGGGCACTCACGGTGCCGTTAAGCAACGGTGCATTGCGCGCCGCATAGTCGGCGGGATTGTCGTGCGCGGCGTAAAATCGCAAATAATCGTCATCCGAGCGCGGCAGGTCGGATCGATTCAACAGCAGAGATAATTTCATGGCGACGGAAGCGGGAACGCGAACCGGGAACGACCGCGCGCGCTCGCGTTTTCACGCACGTGATTCCGCGGCCCGGTCGATGCTGGGCCGCATTCCGAGTCACTGCACTTTCCAGACGATCGCCGGCCGGCCCGCGGCTTCGTTCTCCGAGAACTCGCGGAGCTAATGCCGATTAAGCGTCAATTTTACCTGGATATAGATAATCCGGCGCGGAATCTTTGGAATAGTTGGTTTACCTATTATATTTCGCCTCGCGTTCCCAGGAAATCACGGAGAGGCGGAAAAAAAATCTCTCTCGAATTACGAAATGAACACTTTCTTTCCGCCCCATTTTTCTTCCGCAAAACGTAAGAGTTCAAAAAGAATTTGCTCTCAGGTCACCGATTCTGAGCTCTCTCTCTCGGGCTTCAAGAGGAAACTCTTTGTATTCGGAACAATTTAATTTACTTCCGCAAGGAGTCGAGAGATAATCTCCTTCTATAGAATTCTTTTCGAGTTACCGGAAAGAAACTCTCTGGTAACACAGTGCATTGACCAAACATGGTTAAACTTTGGTTGAACATTGGCCCAATATTTGGTTGTATTGAGCCAATGTTTAGTGAATGCACTGTCCTACTAAGGTTCCCTCTCTCTCTCTCTCTCTCTCTCTCTCTCAAGCTCATTTTGACCAGATTACGCTAATTCATCAAAAATTAAAAAAAATCCTGTGTGAATTTACAACGCGAATTACAATCACCAGTGCTATTTGAGAAGACCCTAGTAGCACAGTGCATTGGCTAAACATTGGCTAAATATTGGTTCAATACTGATTAGATTAGAAATGCATTGATCGATTTTGTCCGTAACGTAAAGCCAACGTAAAGCCAACATTGGCTATGAAATAAACGTAAACATTGCGCGACAATAATTATATAACATTAGATTTATATTGGAAGCGCATTGGCCAATATTTAACAATGTAATAAGAACATTGGTCTAACATTGATACAATATTAGACCAATATTGCTAAATAGACATATCGGCTAAATAAGAGAACGTGTCCATCTTACAATATTGAACCAATATTGGGAATACTAGATTATCGCGCCAATATATTGTGCTACTAGAGGATAGATCTGCGATTGATAGATCTGCGATCTACTTATTACGGACGCCTAATCCGAGGCCCGTAAGGGCAACCGGTCATATACTTTTCCTTCTCCCCGCGCCTCCGCGAGAGGAATTTATCGACGGGATTAAGAATGACACGCACAATACGGCGCTCGCTTACAGCTGCAAAGCGGCGATTTTGTATGTTAAGTTAACGGTACGATAACGGTCGTACGCGGATGTTAACTGCGCGATCCTTAATGCCGCCGTAATCGTTGGCCCATTACTCAAATTACTCCGCCGGTGCTATTAATCGCACGAGAGATGCACCGCGCGGCAGTGCCAGACGCGACGTGCACACGTTGCATCGCTCCTCGATTAATTGAGAAGCGAGCGTTCACATTGATTGGCCGCGGAATCAATCCAGCGATTGCTTCCTTAATTCTTTATTACTCCGCACGAAATACGTCTCTTTTGTGACAACGCTTACGTGTAGTTTTGGTATTGTCGTCACTCGTCATTACGGTTTCGATATAAGAACATAAGCACGTTACACTTGAACCATCTGCGATCGAGACATTCTTACACCGATAGAATACGATATTGATAATTAAATTATTCCTACACGGAGAGAATTTTTTTTAATTTACCCCGAAAGTTACGTAATCGTGGGACAACATGGCGCTTAAAAGAATTATATGAGAGCTTCCTCGAAATTGTACTATACATTTCAGCAGTAAACGAACACGTATGCCATGCATATGTAATAATAAATTGAAAAATGACAGCAACTTTTTAATAATTATATTAGTATGTATCATTTGAACCAATAAATATGTTGCTAAAAATATATTTGTGTTGATTTTGTTTCATTCAACAAAATGGGTCTCTCATAAAAATCTTCGAAATGCCGTGTTGTCTCGCGATTACATGATTTTCAGGTAAATTTTAAGAAAAATTTCTCTCCGTGTATTCGCTTATTAATTTATAATCACTAGTACTTTATTACGCGAGTATTCAACGCGATAACAATGTCATATATCAAAGAGTAATATTATTACGCCATTCCATTTTAAAGGAATGCTGGAGTGATTCTGCACTTTTGCACCTTTCTAACCTAAAAACTGTCAGTTCACGGAAACATTTGTGTAATATACAAATTAAATGGCTTACGTGTACAGATTGAAAGCAGCTTGCTATTCCGGCCAAATGAAAGAACAATATGGCATCACTGAAACTATATAAGTTTGTAAGTCTAATAAAAAATAATAGTGAGCAACACACACATACTACATGTACTGTATGTATGTGTTGCTCACTATTATTTTTTATTAGACTTACAAACTTAGTTTCAGTAATGTCATATTGTTCTTTAATTTAGCCGGAATAGCAAGCTGCTTTCGATCATCTGTACAAGTGCCATTTAATTTGTGTATTACACAAATCTTTCCACGAAACAGACAGTTTTAAGTGCAAAAGGTGCGAAAGTGCAGAATCACTCCAGCATCCCCTTAACACGTGCTAATATCTCATTATTGCTGTTATAACGTACTGTAAGAAGATATGACACGTCGGACTTGAATCCTTTGCAATCGAGACATTCTTGTACCACATAGAATTCATTCATTCACATTACTATTAATTTATTAACCATCATGCGGCTGTTCAGTATACATATAGTAAGGCATTCCATTTAAAAAATAAAGAATTTAGGCAATGAGAGTCACACGTGGTTATCAGTGTGTGTCAATCTAATATAATTGTTCAAATACAATTATTGACTGCAAGTCCCGTTTATTCCATTTTAAAGCACGTCCAATAAATGCACCATGGTATTAAACGTCAGTCAACAATGCAGTTCGCGTTAAAGCTGGTACAAAAGTGGTCCAATTATACCGCCTTTGTATCACCTTGCGTTTGATATTACCATCATGTATTTGCCGGGCGCTGATATTTCGTGCGATCGATGCGGGAAAAACGTGGCCGCGATAAAATTCCTCTTACGGCGCGTGCGAAGGAGCGCAGCGGCGTTCGCCAAGTTAATCGCCACGCGGGGACGAGATTTCAGGGTACCTGCCGACGGCGCGGAAGGGTGGCGCAGGCGCGAGACTTTCGCAGTCCCTTCGAGAGGGAAACCGCCGACGTGGTTCGGCGGCGATTTGCCGGGAGGAAAGACCCAGGTTTCCTCAGTGCTTTCGCGCGCGCCGAGTGCTCACGATCGCCGCGGGCTTTCGCAGGATGCGCGAGGGCTCGCGAAGCTCCGGCGGTGCCCCTCGACGACAGCGGCGGGACCGGCTTGGCGGCGCGATTTAATTGCAGACCGCGCGATTAACGAAATTCTACAGAGTGAGCACCGCTTAAGCTTATTCTACAATGGACGCTTAACGCAAGACGCTAAGGCCCGGTTTCGCCAACGTCGATTAACTCTAAGCTTAGCTTAATTCGTTCTTTGTCTCTTTCCAACTGTCACTCTAGAAAAAGACCAACGTGGATTAAACTGAGATTAAAGTTAGGCGACGTTTGGTGAAACCAGGCCTGAGCCGCAGCGCAAGAAATCGGCCAATGACAGCCGATCATTCTTCTCACATTTGACTGTGATTCACCAACGTCGCTTAACTTTAAGCTCATTGTCAGTTTAATTCGTTCTTTGTCTCTTTCCAACTGTTGCTTCAGAAAGAGACAAACACGAAGTAAACTGAGATCAAAGTTAAGCGACGTTTGGTGAAAAACCGGGCCTTAGCGTCTTGCGTTTAGCGTCCATTGTGGAATAAGCTTCAACCGACCCGCGATTTCATTCGCGGTCGAGAGTAATTCAATTGTCGCCCTCGCGACTAGTATCGCTTTAGATCTCGTCTGTGATACCGTCGGGCATTAGTTGGATATTAATTCGCCGGCGAGTAGACAATGAATTATAAAACGGGCCTCGTGGCTCGAGCGTGTTCGATATTTCCCGTTTATTTCAAGCGCAAACGGCAAAGGTTTCCCGGCACGCGATTTAAATAGCGAGTGAATGTCCTTTTTTTTTACTACCGACGTACTTCTCGATAGTTAGATACCTCCAGATTTCTCGAATTGAGCGAATTCTGCGAAGAGCTCGAAGTGAATTTATGTCTCGAAACTTTCAAAATTTCAGGAATCAACGACTGGCTCGAGGAAGCGAATTAATATTATCATCCGACTTCATTCGCGCTTCGCGCGAGAGAAAGCGTTTGTTTATTGCATCAATTAAGAAAAAAAAAGTTCGATCCCGCGGAGGGAGTATATCTTATTGCTAATTTTCGCGCGGAACGTGCTGTCGCGGATTTTTCTTCCTCCGAAGAAAGCTGTCGCTCTCTCGAGGAGGATGCCAGTATAATTCGTTAATCGCGAAGACTTTTCCCCGCCTGACTGACTCGCGTATGCAAACCGGTGGGACGAGATGCTGCTCGCCGGCGTGCAGCGGGAGAGCCGTTGAACGCGAGCGGCTCTCCGCTGGCGATGCTTCGGGGGCGGTGATTCGGGAAAGACGGGGAGAGGATACTCCGTGGGGTAGCGAGAGACTGTTTAGCGACGCGGCGCTTCCGGGACCGCCGGTGAGGCACGATCGATACCTTTATCGGGATCGCAGCGCGGCCGGCCCGAAGGGGTGGTGCTGAAGGTGCTGTCGGGGAGAAAAAAAAAGCATGCAGCTGCTTTCCAGCTTCATGGGTCGGCAGACGAAGCGAGGAGCCTCCTTGAAAAAAGGTACGCCGCGTCGCGGATGAGCGCGCTCTCCGCTGCCACGTGACGTTGATTAGCTTTAACCAGCGCCGCGCCGGGCGCGGGAGAACACGTGGCGAGAATTTCACGCGGGGTTTCAGCTGGGGCGAGAGGACGAGAGAGCCCGCGAGCGCGGGACCGGACGTTCTCGCGGACCCGAATTCGCGCGAGGTCCTTTCCCACCCCCCGATTTCCCGGGGAACGAGGGCTTCGCCGCGAGGAGGGAGAAGGGCTACTCCGAATTTTACCCTAGCGATAGATAAACGTATATATCGGTAATTTACTAAACGCGCGGAAGGATAGGTCCACGCATGAGTTGACCCGATCACGCCTCGTTAACTCTCCGCTCCTGGTAAACACGAAGGGATCAAGTTCTGAATCGTGCTGAATCGTGACGCTCCCCGGGACGCGCTATAATTAATGAAACTGCGTCGTATGCGCATAGTGTAACTAGTAGGTCCACTCCGTCATTTGTTTCGTTTTCCGTCGATCCCTTCTGCGCATCCGAAATTCCTCAGACCAATTGAGAGAAAGGTTGTATGCGTGGTAGTGTGGCTTTGTACGAGTACGTATACACCACACATGTCGCTGGATCCTGCCCGGGTGTATGGCGGAGTACCACGTGACCGGGACAGCAAAGATCAAAGGGGCCGGCAGAGAGTGGACCTACTATGGTACATACGTACAGCCTAAAATTCAGTGATTTGTATGGATGAGAAAAATGATGATAGAAATGCAGGTCCAGGCATTAATGAATAAGACTGTACGTACACACACTAATCTCGCTGGATTTGGACCAAAGACATGGCGGAATACCACGTGTTCGGGGGCGCAAAGAGTCAAAGGGGCCGACAGAGGGTGGAGCCGCTACCCAGAAAACATTTTGTGCGCAAACATCTAGCTCTATGGCGACGCACCGGGATAAGATTTCGCTTGCGTTGTTGAGCCATTTTTGTACACGAGTTGTAAGACGTTTGCGCGCAAAATTACACGTTAATACATGAGCTATCCACTTGCATGCAACAGCGCCGACTGAACGTACGTTGGGAGCAAAAACTTGGGCAAATCTCGTACAAGTTTGCGTGCACAAGACAAGCGAAATTTGCGCGCAACAATTGTTATCTGGGTAGTCGTACCATGGTGTGTGGAAGCGATGCGCCGTCATTTATCGGGATTATTTTGAAATCGGCGCCGCAGGACGAGTCACTCCAATCTCCGGCTCTCGCGTTAACTCCCGACTGTTCGCCTCCATCGCAAATGACCGGCGTCGCCGCGAGTATCAACGCGAATACGCTCGAACGAGGATCGTCGCGTTCCTCACGTGCGCAAGAAATTATTATGTGGGACGCAACGATGGAATATTAAAGGCAGAGTGGGCGGGCGCATGATCTAATAACTTATTTGATCGATACCGTCGGAAAATGCCTTCGTGCAGCGTCAGTGGCTCACGCGATGTGGGATGCTCCGTGACCAGTTTTGTACGGTACGGCGATCATCGGGAGCATCGAAATTGCTTTTCGTCGAGACCCTCGGAGACCGCGCGGCCGCTTCCGCGCCTACTCGGGGCCCGCGCGCAGCGTCACGGCCTGAATGTTGCGCCGGGAACGCTCAGGTCAGCCCCCGATTTAACGCGTAGGAAACTCGCATCGGGGTTTTCTACGCGCGCCTCGATCTCTAAATATAAATTTCACCGGCGCGCGGGGACTTATGTTTAGTTTATCGATTTTTATTCGTCAACCGCGGCGGCGGCTCTCTGCGCCGCCTCTTCCCGCCCTGTCGCCGTCTTCTCTCCTGACACCCTCCCCGCCGGCGACACGCCAGCGATTTACACGTTAGCGCACGCTATACCGCATTCGGAATGCGAAGCGTGATTCGCCAAAATTCAATCTGCGGAAGTAATTACTCTTGGCACAGCCGTACGCGACGTCGACCGCGTGAAAGGTTGCAACGCTAATTCCACCCCACACGCGCCTCCATAATGTCAAGGTCGCATCCTGAATTATCGCTCTTATCCTCGAGCCTGATTCGCCATGGAATCAGTCGCTGTGCATTACACATATGTAATGCGCAGCGACTCGGCTGACTTTGATGTCGCGTAAATAACTTTATCGATTAGAATTTGATAAGGGTCGCGCGTTTAAATATTCAAAAACGCCCGGGGCGCTTTTTCCAAGCGAGGCCCGCTCGCGGGTCAAAGTTGCTTTTTATAACGAGTCAGATTAAGGAGCTTGGCGCGTCACTTTGCGGGAGCGGCGAGAGGGAAATGCCCTCGCTTGTGTACATGTAAATTTTTCGAATATACCAGCTGTAAAGTAATAATTTTTCAGGTAAACAAATTACATTTCTTTATACAGCCTTGGCCGAAAACAAAAATATTTCTAATTATTTTACATTCAGGTTAAAGAAACAATACCAGTTGATGACTTTCATTCTTCGTTGCAAGTTCTTCCCTAGGGCCTAGACGAGCCTGCAAGTGCAGACGTTCGCCGCAACGTGGCAATAATATTACTTTTAATTACTTTCCGATTGAAGTTATTTTCGACTCGAACCCTTTCCGAGCGCGGACATTTCTGTTTTTCTGTAGTTGAACAAAGTACTGAGCACAAAATACCCTCCTGTCAGGCACGTTTCAAGGATTTATTCGTAATTTTCTCAGGCACTCCATAAGTATAAGGCGTGCCTGTAAAATCAGTCAATACGGGGACGCGATTCAAAGGGTCAAGAAGAAACGATCATTAACCGAGACAGTTTGCTTAACAAATGGCTGGAAGATATCCGCGGGATATGTCACGCGAATGCAACGGGGTGTATGCATTCCTCCGCAGCAATAACTCTTACTCGTGACACTTGTCCTCGCTCTTTTACCGGCGCGCTGATTGATATGCGCCGCAATACGGACAGTTGCAAATTTATTACAGACTCGCGTTCCGCTTCAATGAAATAAAACGATTAGCTCTCGAGCATCGCCAAAGAAAGGCAACAAGAAGAATAACGTAAAAATATGTGCTTGGTTGCAACAATAAAATGTAAAACGCAAAACTTCTATACGCATAAAAAGTAGGAGATTCTAATTATTTCCCTTTTGATTGAAAATTTTTTACATTTTAATCAACTTGTTTTAAATCTCATAAATAATATCGGAAGCTGAATAAATTTTGTGGCGATATTGTGGCTTAACAATATACATTGTTAACCTGTGAAAAAGGATTAAATGTGAATCGAAGTTTAAAAAGAAATTAATTAATTATTAATGAAAATAATTAATGTTACATTATGTTCAAAAGAAATAGTTGGTTTATTTGTTATATACATATATTAATGTAATTATTAATTAATCACTAAAGGAAATAATTGGTCTGAAATTGTATATGCATATGTCAGGTAAATTATTATTATTATGGTAACGCTTACTTGATATATTATGTAAACATGCGGCGCCCGAGAGTTGAACCCACACGTTTCATCTCTTTTAAGCTATTACGTTGTCAAATAAATTTATTTCATTTCTTCTCGCAAAATTTCCAAAACGGCAAAGTTTTATTGTCGTCCCATTCAATAATCCAGTTACTCCAGAAGTTTCATATTGCCTTCTTTTCAGTTTTTGATCTGTCAGCAAAAAATTCATTGAGGTGATTTTTTTATATCGTTCATTTTAACAAATTTTTTGAAAGCCTGTTTTACAATACGTTGTATGTCGCTGTCGGATATCGGAACGTAGTCGATGATCCAATTGAGAAAATTTCTTTTCAATTTCTTTGTTACGTTCCGACATCCGACAGCGACATACGACGTATTGTATAACATGCTTAAGGGAATTTTTTAGCGATAGGAATAGATAGTAATCAGACGGAACAAGATTCAGACTAGTCCAGAGAATACGGTGACTAAAGCAGGACGTCATATTCAAACGCAAGAGTTTATCTCTAACGGCGTGTAGCCTGGCCTTGTCATGGAAAATAATACACTGAGAGAAAAGTGCGTAGTATTTGCGACTATAATTGCATAGTAAAATAATTATAGTCAGGAATATCATTTTTATAGTAATTATCACTATAATATTAGTAATAACAACCACATAGTCATAGTAATGCCAACCAGCATAAAAATTTTACTATTATTTATGAAGCTTTTAACCATTATTCTGGTAAAA